CTATCGATAGGGTCTTTAGTGCGCGGGCAAGTGCTGCCTGTTGGCCAATCTGTAGCAAAGTGCACACGTTGAGGCATGTCAGCCTTAGCGAGGCGCGAAGACTCCAAAGGGAAACGGATCAACCGAGGTTGTCCACTTGGTTGAACATGGACTTGTCGACTGGATTGGAGCGATGCCCTGCGACTGTGTGTGATTTGAAACTAGAAGACAAGCGACTATTGAAGCAAGCTGGGGGAGGGCCAAGAATTGGTGGATTGGAAATGGGGGGATAAAAGTAAAATTGAAGCGGGACGATAAGGATGAGCAGTAGCATCCAAACCCCTATCCACCCTGCTCGATGCATCAGATAGGGCGCCGTTTAGTATCCTCTGCGACGGCCGGTGCATCAAGAAATTGTTAGGAGAAAGGTTCATTTATTGCGTGAAAAGGATACTGTCAGGTTGCCCAGGCCTAGACAGGAGAGCGATTAGGGTTCTCAACCGAAGCATTTGGTTCAAAAACCTTACTGCAAAGCAGCGGGGTTTTGGCGCTGGACTACAGAGAGCCCGTTTTATGGAGTGAGGATCCACTCTCAATACAACCCCCAACTTGGAAGACCACGAGTCTGAGTTAGTTTGGCCTCTAACCATTGACTAATCTGGTGCAAAAAAGCAACACCCAGCATAGCTCAATGGATTACTGAGGCACACAAACCATCGCACCACGTTAAGATCCAGTCTCATCGGGATGGCAAGTGACGCGAAGCGAAGATGCGGTCAACGCAACCCCTACCATGACGAAACCCGGCTTGCTCCTCATGAACCTGGCTTTCACGAGTGCCAGTCATTCTGCGAGAACGACAGACGGAAGCAAGCTAGAGGCAGCTGAGTTCAAAGTTATCTCTCTAGGATTGCCACATTCCGAACGGGAGCCTCCCTTTAAAAATTGTGGCTATGACGGAGCGGCTCCAGTCTATCGGGAAAGTTTCCTGCTCCCACAGTTTCACTAGTAACTTGTGAATCAACAACAAAAACAGGTCATCCGAATTTGTGGAGGGCTTTGGCGGCCTTATGCAATTTCAACAGTCTGGTACCACGTTCGATTTCTGCGCGTGAGGGCGGAACCAAGAAGACGACCCAGGGAGGCCACTCAGTGCGCCCAAAAAGTAATAACTCAGATTGGTTAAACTGCCTTGCAAAGTGTTCGACTCAACGCGCTAAGCGTGTTGACAAGCTGTGGATCGGCTGTCCAATCTCGTCGCGTATGGTTTCGCTAACACCAGGTCTCCAGGTGCCCGTTTCCTGCATCAAACAGAATAACTAAAGATTTTTACCAACGGCAGCGGCTGTTTCCATTTTCAATGCACGATGAGACCAGCATGTTTCCCGGTCTCTCCTTAGGCTAGCACGCAGTTTTGCCCTGAGATTTTTGCGATTCTCATTATGTTTGCTTCCAGCCAGAATACGCCGGAAAGCATCCAGTAGTTCCGGAGACCCTATGTCCAGGTTGAATTTCATTTGCCGTATGAAGACATTCGTGCTGATAGCAACGTCTGATGAATATGTGACCAGTGATCTTCCACGGTGTTCAGTGGGGGCTTACTCAGGCTGGATGCCAGTGTACTTCAATATGCATTCGGAACACCTGGCTTTGCCAGTTGGCTGGTGTCAATGTAATTAGAACGACGGCACGGACGTCCGCCGAAACGCACCCGAAGGTCGGCACACACAAGAGCATGATCGGAGCAAACGGTCATGCTCTAAATCGGGCGACAGTTTTGGAAGCAGCTGCTCCAGCGGTAACTGATCGCAATGTGATCGGTCTGCGGATATGGCTGGTGGGCGCCAAGTCACTCTTCTGAGAAGGCTTCGTCGAAAATTATTGCTCGTGAAAAAGAAATGAGCTACTTCACACAGGTGTAGCAACCGTTCACCGGTATGAATACGGGTTTCGTCAATTGTTGGAGCACCGCCATGTTTATTGGCGACCCACCGTTGTCGTGTTTCACGACATCAAAGGTGCCTTTGATTCGGTGGATCGATGCGCCCTTTGGGACCGCTTACTAAAAAAGGTGTGCCGCAAAAAACTTAAACAGCTGGAACAGTGTGTTTATGGCAAACTATCGCCTACACCATATTGGCCGCCCATATGAAGCACATCAGAGGACAATTTTTCGTAATGGGCGTTCAAATCACCAGCAAGCACCACAGTATCTGTATGCACACATTTCTACCTCCTTTACTGCATTATCGATGGCATGTGAGGATTTAAATACTGAGTACAAAGTGTCCTGTTCGCACGCGCTTTCCAACTTTTAGCGATATAGGCACCCCTGAACCGTAATGTGACATCTCGCAACGAGAATTAAGATGCCTGTGGCAAACACCCCCACCGATCTCCTCAATCTGTCCCACGGCAAACTTTGTTGATACTTGGAAGGAATAGTGAGAAACCTCTACTGGTTACTTGGCACTGCATTCAATCTTAAGTCCGACAATATGTTGACAAAGTAAAATAAGGTGAAACTTAGGAATATTTTTGGAGACGAAGGTCAAAGACATTCCGATGACATCTACTCTAGTATAGACAATGCGCTGTAATTGTTAATCGTTTTTTGTGTATTCCTTTAAGTGAACTTAGTCAGGTATTATTGTTCAAAATTCTTTCGAAAAAGAGACGAAACCGTGAGTCAATTTATCGCTCGTGCACTCTAGGCGGTACCTGACTACAGATACAATGAAATCGACCAAGACAGGTTAGAAGAAACCATGTTGCTGCAGTGTTTGTCCTAAGACCAGAATGTGTGGAAAGTGCTAGCACAAAATAAATGTTCGTTAACCTAGGAAATAGACAGTTCGATAACTCAACAGAAAGAGAACCATACCGCGAAATCAGCAATACTCACATTGAAACACCCATTAGAAGAGCTGGCGTTGGTGCAGAATACGCTAAAACTAATGACGACACCCATTAGTTTCAGTCCATGCGTGAGAAACGTAGCGTCCGATCCGATAACCGACGTCAAAAGTTCGAGTACCAGAGCTGCCGGAAAATAGCGCACTCGACGTCAGTACACAGTTAAGTTAAGCGTTGGCATATGGAGTTGACCGGAGAATACAAGCCGTCAAAACTAAGCGAGTCGGATGGGGGCGAGAGTGACGTGTATTCCATGTGGCTGAATACCTTGGTAATATGCTGCCAGCGTCATAGACCCCGGAGCACCACATGCAAAGACTTAAGGTAAAGATAGGTACCAATATTTCCGTAAAAATATTAGGACAAACACTATAAGGAAGACTATTGCACTCATCCGCTTGACGTTTTGTTCTTCGTACCTTCGTACAGGTGAGCCCATACGCTTCTTTGGAAACTGCTTTGTAGAGGCATAGTGAGGCGACAAGACATGTTCCTGCATACGTGCTTTTCGAAGATCACCCAAATCTGCTCAGAAACAACTGGATATACGCAATCCCAGATACGCTGGATGTGTTAAAAGTCATCGTTAAGACTTCAGGACTTGAAATATTAAGGAAACAACGCTCAGTTATTAAGCAAGATGTGGAAAAGTGGACAGGTTTTCAGGCTACGATAAAATCAAAGTGCGCTCGGACAGAATTCACAAGGCACACACAACAAACGCTTAGGTCTAGATTAAAAAATGAGTTAATCCGCTTACAAACTCGTGGTAGTATCAATCCCGTGCAGTTCTCTGACCGGGGAACACCAAAAGTACCTGTGGCCAAACCAGATAAATCCGTAGGAGTTTGGGTTAAATACAGAGTGAAAGTCAATCACTTATACATGTTAATCATATACCCATTGCCAGGCAATGAAAATTTACTTCTAACGCTGGTAAGTGGTGAAAAGTTCACAACAATTGAGAATAAAGGTAACTATGCGTACCCTCAAGTGGAGCTCGACGAATGTTCGAGGAGGTTTGCTACGGCTATCACACTTATAGGATTTTACCAATAAACTAATTTATCTTATGGCATTGATCCTGCATCGGCACCTCTCATAAATTCCCTTAGTACTGGTAAATGGCATGATGTTTGCTTCTGCCTACTTGAATGATGGACGAAAGATTTGCACACTTACCCTGTGTTCCGAAGGTCATCGGTTCGAATCCGCGTAGGCGCAGGCGACCTCGCGGTGTACCCAGCCCTAGCGCGAAGCGCCGGCGTACTGGTAATGTTTTGCCTATTTGGTTGATATTTTGATCTCCCAATGCTCTGACACAGAACATCTTCGGACTCACGCCATCGCGTCTTAGGGTTTGGAACGAAGCGGATTAAAAATGGGCAGATAGTTAAATTTGAGTTCCTTTTATCCTGTTCGCTACCTCGGATATCGATTGATAGAGTTGGCACGTCATAGATGGTAAGTTGAAACTTATGTTGGAAGATCCAAAACCGAATAGCAGTGAGAACTACATTCTTTGATGAGAATATTGCATCAAAATCGCCGTTTCTGGCATAGTGCCGCTCACTTTCTCCTGTGTCACCGTAAGAAACGATGGTTAGATACATTCCACAGTGCTCGCATCGCGCGCCCTACAGACAGCGAGGAACAACACGCAACTGTATAGGGAAGTCTTGGTTGTGATCTTCGAGATAAAAAAAGGTTCCAACAGTAACCTATGGGGGAACTTTTTCGAGTTTCACAGAGCCCAAACCCTCACTGTTATTATTTGGTGAAACCCAATGGATGCAGCAAATGACAGCCGAGAATGCAAATATGGGTGCCAGTTGGGAGCGCTTACAGTTACAAGATTGTCAATAGTATGGGCGTCAGCGAGAGCTCAGACGATAACTGAATGTGCATTGGGTTGTTCCAAAAAATCGAAGAAGGCAAGGAAAGCTAGTAAACAGTACGTCGGACATTCAAATAAAGTTTGGATACAAACATCAGTACTTTCGTCAGATGCTTAGCGATGGTGATGAATAGCCTATATAGCAAAAATGGAGATCAGTTAGGACACTAGTTGTTATATTTACATCACTGTACAATAGTAACGGTCATTATTTTGTAGGTACACAATATTTCCGATGACGAAGCAGCACAGTCTTGGAGGATGAACCACTCCACGATAACACCTCCCCGCAGTCTTCACACGTAATGTGGTTGTGATTTGAATTGTCATCAGACTCTAATGTCTTTACATCAAAGTTTTTGTTCAACGTGACGCAAGCGTTTAAATGTTGATCCAGCAATATCCGTGCAAAGTTGAGACTGCTCAGCATATCATGCGCTTCTTCATCTTCTCCACTGATACGGTGCGCTCCCGGGCCGCCGGAATTCGGATGCAATCTGAAGCAAACCCAGGCCATTAAAATGAAAGGTCAGTTTAACATAAACAAACCGGCGAAGAAAGCCATGAGAATGATATATGATCGGCATGGTTGGATGAAAAACATTGCAATGCATTCACAAGGATACCTTAAAAATGGGGAAGGCGGGATGCAGACCATTGTCAAAGTGGCGCTGTGTGATCTGAATGAGGAGGCCGAACATTCAAAATGATCAGCGCTTGGTTGAAAGCGATTTAGTGGCATAAAACAGGACGACAGCATCTCGCTGAAGACGTCCATCTGAAACACTGGATATGTGAATGAAACGTGACACGTAATCTCAGCGTGCATTGTGATTCGCTTACGAGCGAATCGCGGTCAAGCCGGTCATGGGGACCGCAACTGACGCAGCCAAGTGTGGGGTGTAGCCATTCGCAACACCGTACTTCACCGTAATCTGGTCATAGAAGTGCTGCAGGATGAACCCACGATGAGTCGTCACTGACCATTACTGCAGGCGGCTCGGTAGCGTAGGGGGTGCGTGGGTGGAGATTTCGGCAGGCAGCCCGGGGGTTCGGGAAGCAGTGCTGCTATATCTACCCGATGAGTACGAAACTGGTATTGTAGTGGTTTTACCAGCGGACAACAGAAGCACCAAGTAGACTCTGATTTTTCCGCCACAGGGTGTGTACCCTAGGGCAGTGGTTCGTAAGCTTTTTGAGGTTGTTACCCACAACGCGGGGTCACTATAGACAATTACCTCAAGGAGATTTGAGTCTAAATGGTTAATAAACTATGAACTATTGCATTTTCGCTGTAAATTAAGGGAAATATATACTATTATTAATTACATTTGATCATTTATGTAAAGAAAACACCTAATTTCGAGCAATATTTCATCCAATCAAGATATGAAGGTTAAGGAGACGCTTGATATTGCTTAGTTCCAACAGTTTCTGGTATCTTTGGTGCGGTATCGGCTAATGTACACCGCAATTCGTGCTCCAAGTTCATTTGGTTCCTTCAGTGTGTTATCATTGATCACACATGAACAGATATCAGTGGCTTCACATTTGCTTCAACCATTCCTTCCAAGTTCGCACTAGATGACAGGTTTCCATCACCACTCTGCATCGGTACATCCTGAACATTAATCGCCTGTTTCGTCACGTTACCTAGTCGGTTGATCTACAGTGTTGGTCAAATTATTATAAATGTTTGGAATTCAGTAAAGTTTTTTCATATATCTTCACAATTCTCGTAAAAAGCAAATGATTTTACCATAAAATTATTATATTTTCTAAAACCATATTGATTAGAAATTCATTAGTGTTCTGTAAATGATCCTTTGACAATTTTCAAGGAGTTAACACGCAAAGGCATGGAGTGAATGAGCTTGTTATAATGTTTAGTCATGCTCTCATTGCGTGCCCAGGTCGCTATAATTTCTTCAATGAGCTGCTGTTTATTTGTAATAATTTTTCTTCATCTCTTACTTTAGAATTGCCCATAAATTCTCTATTGGATTTAGATCAGGTCTATTTCCAGGGCATGACAACACGAAAATACCACAACCCACAAGAAAACGGGTCACTTTACGCCCCTTGTGATATGGAGCACTGTCATGCATGAAAATGAAGTCTCCTGTTCCTGTAAATCCTTCTTTTTCTGTACATTCACACAGCTGAGGTATCAGACGGTGCTCTACTAGTGTTCCGTACTGCTGCTGGTCCATGTTACCATGGACGATGTGGAGCCGACCTGTTGTGTAGATGCTCATTACGCTACATATCATGACCTGAGTGGGATGCTTGACTCCTTGAACGATACAGTCTTCCCTCATCTGTGTTCCAGGTAATCGACGGACATATTGTGGTTGCTGGTCAGAGCATCGGACGGTGCTCTCATCGCTGAAAACAAACTAAAATAAAACACAGGAACTGTTTGAAATACGCAAGCAGTGTAGGCGCAATTTTTCTCGAAATTTCCTTTAAAAATAAAGCTTTTGCTTCGTACCCGCTCCCAGTCTTCTTTTGACCATTTTTCAAGCTGTTTGGTCCATTTCGGTCGTTTTTCTTCTATTTGTTTGGTCAACTTTTGCTTCTTCCAGAGGTCTGCAAACTCGAAGTCCAGAATCAAAAATCGCCTACTTACAGTTCTCGAACTTACTGCAACACCATGCCGTTCTAACACCCCTTGCAGCTGTCTGCCTTGCAATTCTTGCGGCACTCCCTAAGCAGAAGTGAGCAGTCTCGAGCTGTTGTTACTCTTCTGCAACGACATTTACCGGAACGATTAGGGTATTGGGGCAAATTCTTTTGCAATTTCTTTCGAAGTTGGCATACAGCCACTGAGCTATCACCAACCTTGGTAGCAAGTGCTGATCCTTTAAGACCTACTTTCAACAAAATTTCAATTTTTGCACGTGTTTGTGGGGTCAGGTCACGTAATTTGCCCATTAATATGCTAATATAAACTAGCAACTGTCGATCAATAAGTTTGTGTTGTTACTTGAGAAGATACCTTGAAAAATAAAATAAACATATAAATTGATCCAAAACCAGACAAATGTTATCCAGAAATGTGAACTGCAGTAGGAAATAACAAATGAAGATAAAATGTAATCATTGGTTCACATAACTATTGTACATGTAACATCAACCAATTTGTCATCCGCATATAAAATATCAAACATTAAGACAAACTGTATATTACAAATAAGTATTTACATTATTGTCAACCATTTATATCATTGGTTACCATGACAGTGAGAATAGAAATAAAAACTGGCACTGTAACCCTGACAAACGGGAAAAAATGAGCCAAAAAGAATAAACGCGGTCTAACTCTAATGAATTTATAATAATGTGGCCAACACTGTATGCTCCCACCTTAGCGTTCACTCAAGTTTGTAATTTGGCCCAGCGAACTGATACCTGACTCAGAAAAACAATGACCGAGGAGCGAGCCGATAGAGCCTTCATCTAGCCGCATTTCTTTGTAGGTTTGCATAAGTAACTAAGTTATGAAATTTATTACCGAAAATCGTCTAATTCACTGAGCACTCATTAATGATTAGTCACTGACGGCTAATCAATAGTGATTAAGTAGTTAGTTATACGCTTTGATACATGCGAATGTTTAAAAATTTGGTTTGGCGACAGATTGATGACCCAATCCTCGTACTTATATTGACCCCACCGTAAAATTTCATTTTATCATCTTGAGGGTAATATTACCCCCAAGTGCTGAGAAGCACTGCCCTAGAGGGATTACGATTAGCCTGAGTTTGGCCAGTTAAACGAAGCCTCAAAAATACAAAAAGGAATAGGGTCGAAAAGCATGAAAGAAAGAGGACCCTTCAGGAGCCAGGTAACACACGACAGTAGTCGTGATAACGTTTGAATAGGATTGAAGCAATGTGCATCTAGACGAAATAAGCGCATGTTGTGGACACTGAAAAAGTGTAACTCCAGTGGTAGCTGCACTCTCAATCATGTGTCATTGAAGTAGTTAGGTTCAGCAAATATAAGCAGTGCGGTTGCTGGACCGGACAGTTACACGCCTCACGACGGATCGAAACTTGAGCATACTTAAGTGGTCACCACCACGTAGTCACTTTAGGTGACTGCGGCCCTTCACGCCCCATCACCAGTGAGGTCGTCCAAGGGAGCGTGTTAGGTCCTTCCTTGTTCCTGAGCTACATCAATGGCATTAGCACAACAGTAAGACATGGTCAGCCATTTTTATTCGCCGACGATGTTAAGATCCTCTATAAGATTCGACGTGACAAATTTCACGGAACGCCGTTGTCCATTCAAGATGACTTATATTTGCTTGAAGCACGGGGCCACATGTGGATCGTGATTCTCTCGGTTAAGAAATCAAGCATCATGCCTTACGGCTGTTCGATCCCCGAAGGATCTATCGCATTAAACACTGGACATGTCCTCACACAGCTGTCCACGCGTGATCACGAAATGAGGTGTTTACCTGCCATCGATTTCTTCGAACAGGCCCAATACCAAGTAGCACATGCCAGACAATTTGTTATTAATATATCCAACAAAATCCACACAATTCATGCTAGAGATGGGATTTTTAAGCAACTCACCAGCCCCATCATACAGTATTGTAGGATAATATGAGGCAACACGAGAAAGAAACAGAATTGCTCCGGAACATCTGCAGAGATCGATTACTAAAAATCGAGAGCGTTGCATCGAAATTCAACTTGAACCACTTTGGATGCGACGATCGAAGCCGTTGCTGCTTTGCAACCTGTAACAAAAGAAGACCTACTCTGATCTGCCTACACTCGAACTGCAACATAGCTCTACTCGAGTGATTCACAATCAAGATAACACACTGATTATACCAAAGGCTACAACAAGCATGCGCTCAAATTTCTCCCTTATCAGATTTAATCACCTGTGGAATAAAGTGCCAATCACACTCCGGTTATGTGACAAGGTGGCAACGTTCAGTGACAAACCGGCAAGTTAATTTGACCTGACCTGACCATAATGACTATGCTGACTTCGGGGAAATCACTCGAAGAGGAGCCCGAAACGTCTAAAGACCCAAGTTTCCAAAGCTTGCCTTTCGCCTCAATCATCCAGAAAAACGCTAGCACATGAATTTCCTGCATATATGCGTGTCCGCTATGCAATAAGATGGTTACTTCTGTACATATTGATCTGTGCTGCTACATACACAGTATGTCGAATCATTAGAATATAAATATAATGATGATGATGATTATTATATCGTGAGGATGTGTATTACTTCGTCCTTATAAAGGATCACGCAAGACTATTAATCAATGTGGTTACACATAACGAGTAGTTAACTAGTCGGAAATCGTACGTCAGTGTACAGTAAGACCAGATATGCCATCAAGGAAATGGTCTCCACGCATACGATATCATACATCCGGTTATGATACTACAGCAACGAAAAGAAATAAGCGCAACATCAGCTCCAACATGAGACAGTGAGTGAGCCATTCAAGGCTCATTCAAGGCCGAATCAAAAAGCGAACATGTTTAGTAAGCGCACTATCGGATACACGGATTTATTAGGATGTCAAAATGAGTCGCCGAGCAGGATATGGTCCTCCGTGCAACCATCGTCGACAAAGAAGACTGGTTGTTACTGAGCTCTAATGCATGAAGTTCAGGCTTCCAAAGCTAAAGTACAAGAGGATAGGAAACTCACGAATTGATAGTGAGATAGTCGGTGACCTTGTAGCCTCCTTTTCGGGAATCTGAAGCAACTCTGCCTTCCGGATCGGGTGGCAATGAGGTTAGTGGTGGAAGAGAGCTAACCCGATGCTCCAGTGATTGACCTGGGAAAATAGTACGACCAGCAAAAAAACGGTGGTATAAGCCGCTTCGGGTAGGTTCGGAAAGTATGACCAAATTAGGGTCTCACTAGTAGATGGAAAATTCGTCAAAAGTCCCTAGTAACGCAACCCAGAAATAAGTACATTATGAGCTAATTTTAAGCGAATAAATTGAACAAGGCACGAGGAGCGAAATACGTTTACAGCTGAGGAATTTCTTGGAGGAACTATTTTGCTTAAGAACCATACATGTTTTGTTCCATTACAGAGCTGACCGTAGCAAAGAGCTAGTCCAAATCGAACAAGACTAGGGTGCATTCGCATCACTCAGCTATTGGTTGAGTTACTCAGTTATCGAGACCACAAGCAGATCAAATAATTCAATTACCCGAATCATTTATTGCACCAATGTCGTTGCTGAATGTTCAGCTAATTATGTATACTATGCGGACAAGAAAAACGGCTGGTTAAAGCTTTGGATCACAAATTAGGTGTAGCAATGATTCCAAGTGAGTATAAACGACCGAGTTATCTCTGGGATGAATTAGTCTGTGGGCAGGTCAGTTAACTTAATTCAGTTGAACAGCTATGATCCCGGCTAGATTTAAGAAACAATGCGGGAACCCCACTCAATGTGCGGGATCTAGATAGTCACCGACCACTGGTGTTGACCATCCCGACGAAGAAGGCACGCACTAGCCTAACCAAGTTAATCAGTCAATTCTCTCAAGCCTTTATGCCACAATATCTACTGGCCACCCTGCAGTTTCGCCCAACATGCTGCAGCGACGGCGTATGTACACGCCAGTCAACGGGCATGGTCCAGCCGACGTAAGCGCTTGGGATTTAGCAAACACTCCAGTGAGGCCCCACAGTTTCCGGCCCAAAACTAACGGGCAGATCACAGCATCGTTCACCTGATGTTCACACCAAAGGTAAGCAATACACGGCAAGCACTGGTGGTCAAAGACGGCCAAGCGCTTAATGTCTTCGCCGTGAACTGGCCAAGTCTCTAATGCATACAGTAATGACGGCAGTACTGCAGCATGGTACACTTAACCTTACATTGGCAAGCTGATATCACGAATTCTCCATAGATGGTTATCTCTGAAAAGTCATATGAGCTTAGCTAATATGCGAAGTAACCTCCTCAATGAGGTGACCACCAGAGGTGACACAGCTACCAAGGCAAGTGAATCAATCCACCACTTCCAGTGGTTGTTAAATGATAGATAGAACCGGAGGTGTATCGGTACAGTCCTGCAGCAGCATTTTGCAATTTGGAGGTGCAAAGCACATGCCGAAGCATACGGCGTTACGCGTCAGTATAGCCAATAGTATTTGCATAGCCACTGCGTCAGATCCAAGGAGAGCAATATCTTCCGCATACTCGCCGAAATTCCACTCCGGAAGTGTCAGAAAGAACCGAGTCATTCATGATCATTTCGATCATAAAGTTTAAGAAAAAAAGGAGATATGGGACAACCCTGGAAAAGTCCACTTGTCGGAGGAAACTCAGAAGACTGTTTTCCATAGACCCTCTAGAGTTAACGTAGAGGAGTTGCATAACGGAAAGGAATTTAGCAGGCACGCCCTTCATGAATAGGCAGCACCATAAGTTGGCGAGGTCAATAGTCGAAGATGCCTTTTAAGTCGAGGCAAACCACCATAGTTGGTCTTCTGTAAGTGTGTCGCTGCTCAAAAACTCGACGAACAGTAAATGTGTGGTCTATAAAACCATGATCAGAGTGAAAGCGAGCCTGGATTACAATGCTTACATTCGGACGGGGACCAGTAAGTCGTCGAATAATGATACCCGTGAGAAGTTTGGAGGCGGTGGGCAGAAGGCTGATGTATCGATGATTTGCGCATAAAGTACGTTGGCACTTCATGAAGATGGACACGGCACTTGCCAGTCACCAGCCTGGAGGTACCAGTTCAGTGTCAAAAATAGCGTTGAATACAGCAGAAAGTGTAGTCAATAAATGGCCACCTCCGTTTTTCAGCAAAGACGGAGGAAGGTCGTCGAGTAAGGAGAGCCTTGTTTCGTTTCGACATTAATAAATCAAGTCCGATCTCTTCAAAAATAGAAAGTGCGGCATCAGCTCAGATGATTCAACGAACGGCAGTGTCGCAAAAAATGGCATCAGCAGTACGCCGGTACGCAGTACCGATGCATCGATGCCGCGCAATCACGACTGGTAGCATGTGGGCCAAGGGTAATGCGAGGGTCCCCTGCCCCCACGCGCCGTCAGATTACAAGATAAACTCGTTACCTTTAGGATACGGACCGGCAGTGTCGCCACTGGCCTGCTGAAACCTAGTACCCAGTGACACATGGCTCCGTGCTTTGATCAAACAGATCGACGCCTCAGAAATCCATTCATAGTTAGGACGTCTGAAGTTGGGTGTACAGCAGTAGTCAAAAACATCCTTCATGGTAGACTTGAGATGATCGCAGCTAGCATTAGGCACATCAACCCTATTCGCCACTGACAACTGGTGAGCCAGTTTGTCATGATATTGTCGAACTGAGGACTGCGAGCTTAAGTAAGAAGTGAGAGGTTCAGAAGTTAGGCGCCTCTCTGAAGTTGGAAGAGTGAGCTTTAAGCGTGTGCACATTAGAGTAAGGTCGAAATCCAAACACGAGCTCCAAACTGACCGACAGTCAAACTGACGTGTGCCATCTATGACTAATGGCAATATGGTCAATTAATGTCCACAACATGGAGATAAGCCTACCAGGAAGCCCTGCATACCGAACTTTCGCTCTCTCGCCCAAAAACACTGATACTGGGTAGAATAGAATCATGCTCGCCATGTACGAGGCGGGAAACTGCCTGTAGCACTGTCGCTCGTCGCCGCACCAGTCACTGGATTTCCCAGAGGCTGGTGAACCTGTTAGAATTCAGAAGAAAACTACCTGCTTGCTCTGAGCACACTGCACACACTATTAGGCGCGGATTAAAACAAAGAATGTGTGCTGACAAGGAAGTCTGGTGGATTAGTAAGGCCCAAAAAATGAAGGAGGCGGGAGAGGTAGGCAATTATGGCAGGCTCTTCCAAGTGAACCGCATCACTAATCCCAGGAAACCAAGCGTCACTGAGCTAAGCAGAGACAGCACAATTGCACTGTTTCACAATAAGAAGCGCCGGATGGTTCGTTGGGTGAAGTACTTTCGAGACCAGTTTAGCTGGCACGCTGCACATTAGTAAAAGAATGAGAGTGCTGCCTGTTGACCGATCGGATACAAAGCGCGAATGTTAAAGGAACCAAAGTGAAATGAGACGTTTAAGTTGAGGAACGAGTTACATATATCGATAGCATCAGTTGTTCTCCTGCTTAGTAGGCGAAGAAGAGACTTGTACTGGATGAGAAAACCAGGAATAAGAAGTATTTACGACTAATGGGTCAGATGGTACTTTCAGACTGACTATTCCAAGGAAGGGATTTTGTTGGAGGTGCCCTACCTTTGACCCAACGGTCAGAGGGACTCAAACTGGAGGCTTCGGCTCAATAGCCTGTCGCACAAAGTAGTGGGGATTAGATTCAGCTAAAGAGTGTGATTGCAGAGACCCATTGGGATCTGCTTGACGCCGGTCACACACAGCCTCTGAAGATTTGGAACAATGCACATGTGTTTTACGACCGTAGTATGTTACGCACCAAGACCAACCACAGGTGGGAGTTAGCGGGTCTGCACCAATCTGACCAAAGATACCTTGCTTGAGGCAGGCGGTAGCAAACCATGGAATAGTGGGCAGTGCCCTCCGACCGTCCGAGAAAACGTGTGGAACTCGTGATATGCGCCAATCGAGCTGTGAGCTTATAACCCATAAACATGTTGTCTCCCATGGCTGTTTTAAGGGAAGAGCGTCATCGACCTCTTCCTAACCTCTGAAGGGGATTGGATTGTGAGACTGACTTAGTCTGACCCCTATCTACTGACCTGTCTGATATGAGTGGCTTTAAAGGCACTTAGAAACTCAGTGGGTCAAGGAGGCACGCAAACTACTGCACCACATTAAGGTCTAGTCTCGTTGCAACGAGTGGGCTAGTCGGTCGATGAAATCTATGCTTTACGTAACGAAAGAGGCAGCGCGTTATGAGAAACTGAGTGGGCTACTACTGGACCAAATAAATGAACCATGTATATTTTTACTGTAATTGCATAAAAACATCGGGTGAAAGCCAGATTGGGAAAAACAAAATAACGAAGCAGTCAATTGGTATACAAAGGAATGGTCAGAGTTCAGTGTAATAGGAATGTTGTCAACATGCGCTGCATAGTTTGATCGACTTAAGTACTCGATCTGTGATGACTCGAAGACTGACAAATCTTAACACCGACCACAAGGCTTTTACTCCTTAGACAGATTGTGAAACCAAAAGAGAAAGTAAGGGTGAAGTGAGGGTGAGAAGTATAACGGCAACAAATCCGTTCTCTCGAGGAACAAACCGATGTAGTTGTAAGGTATAAGAAACAACCACGCATCACGTTTCAGTATCAGGATCGCAAAGATAACAGACGGAAATAGCCACATGGAATCCGTTGGTACTGCTTACGTGACTCCGTATAACTAACCCTGAGCGGTTTCTGGCGACCGTCGAAAAAGTTGCTTGACATCCGCAGCCAACAAGCGACGTATTGTGTAAGGGCAAGCAGAAGCCTCAACTAGAAACGTTGTCAAACCCTTGCCCAATATACGTTGCAGCTCGACGCAACGAAGCGATTCTGCGTTCTGGTCCTCATTTGTAGTGATGCTAATGTCAGTTGAATCGCCGCTATCCATCATCGTTACCTGATCACGGCGACGTGAACAATCTGAAACAGAGAAATGTAACAACGTTCAAATAATGGAGAGTTAGAAACCACTGAGCAAACACGATGCCAGACAAAGTGTCGAGAGAGGATTGTCCTGTTCTCCAAGTCGGGCATTTCTGTTGCAGACGTTTCGTTACCAAACTAGGCAACATCTTCAGTGCGGCTGTTCAGTCCTGATTTGCGGAGTCTCGCAAACCAATGCCTACCACCAAGTATGCACTATCGTCCACCCATCAACAATCCATTGGCTTGGAAGATCACCGAACAACATGGATGACGAATGCTACGCTGCTGATGACGGATGCACACAACCGATGGCAAAAGTATCAACGAGTAATCGATCAACAAAAGGCCATTTGCTTGTCCAACCTCGGGGAACAGTTAACCAGTGAGCTTGAGAAAGCGATTGCCATTAGTACTCATAAGACAAAATTCCAAACAAAGCAGAAAATAAAAAGGAAGTAGGACAGAATCTCGCAACAAAAAGCAGCAAACGAAGATGCATGGATTAAGAATCTATCCAAACGAACCTTATCAGATACAGAAAAAGCAGTTATTGTGCGAGGTTTGCAAGTCAATTACAAAGATTCCAATCCCATGAATTTCCTTACCGCACTTGAATCAACGCTGACCACATCAAATATCACAACTGAAGTCCAAAATGCAATTAAACACAGCATCATCCCCGCTCTGAGTCACAAAGTGGAAACCAACATGTTCAGTGTAAGCGAACGAAAGGCCCTGACAAACCCCAGAAAATACAAGACAATTGTTACATTACCGGCCGACAAGGGACTTCTTACTGTAATAATGGACAAAACTGACTACATGAAGAAAGCTCAAGAACTGCTCGGAGATGTGAACACTTACCAGCTGATAAGTGAAGATCCTACAAAACGTCTAGAAAGCC